GTTGCCTGGGAAAAGAGACCAACCCCCCCCTGGCTCCCCCCTCCTGTCAGGGAGTTGCAGAGAGTGAGGAGGTCTCCCCTGAGCCTCCTCTTCTCCAGGTTGAACAGCCCCAGCTCCCTCAGCCTCTCCTCATAGGACTTGTGCTCCAGTCCCCTCCCCAGCCTTGTTGCTCTCCTCTGAACCTGCTCCAGGACCTCAATGTCCTTCCTGAACTGAGGGGCCCAGGACTGGACGCAGTACCAGGTTACCAAACGAGTTACCTTCCAAATCATCAGCGTCACCAGGAGCTGGGAGCACATTGCTCAGACAATCAGGATAATTCCAGCTTTTTGCAATTTGTTCCAGACAGGCTGAGACACCCTTAAGAGCCCCGACACTCTGGGCACATCATTTGGCAGCTCCGGGCCTGGCACACACTGTCTCTGCCAGTCCCACCCAGAGATCCAGGCAGCTGATCCAACTGGCTCAAGGAGCCACCAGGACTCTTCGAGAGTGTTTAATCCAGGCTGATTGGAAGCCAAAAGGAATTAATTCTGCTCAGAAAGGACAGGGCAGGATCCTTTCAAGCGGTGCAGTTTTAGCAACTCCTGGCATTGGACAAACACCAGACATGGTTATGGGCACTCCAAGGGGATGTGATGGAACTGGGAAAGGACCAGAGCAAAGGAGCACGGAAAACTCAGGTCAAGGGAGGTCGGGCAGCATAAATCTCTGACTGGAGAAATGTTGGAGTTTATTTAAACCATAAACACGAAAAAAATTGAATGACTATTATTCAGATTCTACTGTACAAAATCTAGAAGGCACCAAAGAAGATCTCAGGTAGCTGGTGCTGGAAAAAAAAAGGGATAAGCAGCACCTTTGTTGTGATGTGTAATTAAACCATAGGACCTATTACCCACCATACAATGAAAGCAAAAGTATAAACAAGCTCCAAAATACAACCAAGGAGGACAGACCCCTTGGACCACACAGGTTAAAAGCCTTGTTAAAAGACCCTTTTTTTTCCCACCTCAAAAATCCCTAGACATCTGAATTTTGGGAACCAGAAAGCTCAGGATCATTTTAGCCATGCCTTGGTCCTCAGCAGTCAGCCTGTGACACCAGCTGGAGAGGATGTTTGTAGGTAAACCCTGCACAACAGTTCTTTGGGTTGTTGTATCCAAAGCCCAGGAGAAAACTTCCCATGAACTCCAAGAGGAACAGGCCTGGACCCTCCAGGCCCCCTATCCAGGCTCACATCTCCATCCACTGCCACCTGAGGAGTTTGGGGATAGGACAACTTTGTTCCCAAGATGACTGTGGATTTCTGAGGATTCCAACCCAAAACACGTTGCAGTGACAGAGTTAAAAAATCCCTTTGCCTCTACCTTGGAAAAAGTGCATTAAGATCATACAGTCCCAGGCCAGCTGAGAAACTGCAATTTGGGGTGATTTAGAGCTGCTAATGGGTGATGTCATCACTGGAGTGAACCCAATCCCCTAAAAATGTGCAAATGAAGTGAGCAGGAGCTATAAAATACATGTATTTCTCTCCACAGCAGCAACAGGTACATCCCAGCAGGGCAGCTCTCCTGGGTGCTCGTCTACAGCCAGAGGAGTCCACCAGAAATCACCAAAAAAACAACAAAGGGACTGGAATCTTTTCAAGAAGCAGCAATCTATTCTTCTCCCAGGCATTTATTAACAGCAAGTCAGCAGGATTCCTTGGAAGCAAATGAGAAATAGGCCCCACTGTGGAAAGAAACCGAGGGAGGGTTTTCTGGAATGACAACCAAGGCATTTTGGGCCGCTGTCTGTTAGACTTGGGTTTAGCTCAGTGGATATTGATCCTGGCTGCATAAAACACAGCCCTGCTGTATTTTCTGATTAACAGCTTCTGCTGCCTGGTTTTTGACAAACAAAATCTCCATCGTTGCAGGGAGATGAAAAATGTATTTATTGATAATTCCAGGGTGCAGGCAAAAAAAAAAGGGGGGGGGTTGGGAGAAACAGGTGGGAAGGATTTCTGCATGATCACTGTAGTATTTACATAAGGGTGAGTGCAATCGATGCAGAGCCTTCCCCCACAGCCTCCTCCAAAACACATCCAGACTCTACCCTTTTTCCTATGGAAACAGATAACGAGAGCAAAGCTGCTCTTTGCTTTTGTGGGGTTTAGCTAAAAGCTGAAAATGAGATCAGATTTTCTGACATTCAGCATTTACCTCAATAAAAACGGGCACTCAACAGGATTAGCGGGTACACAACTCTGTGTGTGGTGTCATGAAACACATTTTCATGATCTTTCATGCTTACACAGAACTAAAATTAAAAAAAGTATTGGAGAAAGAGAAATCAAAATCCCTCTGTGATATTGAAGATTAATGTGAACGCTGATCACTGCCTGGGAAACATGAAGTAACATTTCCAAGTAGAAACCTTGCACATATGGCAAAGGAAAGCTTTTGATGGAGTAGTAAAATGGTATTTCAAAAACTGATGTCCTACCTATCTGTATTTATAAGAACACATTAAGTACTGGCTTAGCACTGTCCTCTTTTATTATTCGCTAATAAATTACAGCCTGATCATTTTTTGAAATGCACAGGTCTGAGTCTCCTTTCCACAGAAGTGAAAATTAAGTTCCCACTCATGTCACCACCTCTCAGTCCCTCCCTGGAGAACCAGCTGGGTTTGGCAGCAGCAAATGTTCTTCCTCAACAACCTGCCTTTGGTCTTGAGGCAGAACCAAGGAGGTTTGTCTCAAATGAGACAAAAGGGGATGTTTGTCTCGAATAAACAACCTTGCTCTGGCTTCTCCAAGCCCCTAAATCAAAGCCCCAAGCCCAAGCAAGCAGAAGAGGGATGAAAAGGTTTCTGGGCAGTGAAGGAAGCCCAAGGAAGAGGAGCTCCTGCTTTCCAGCACAGCCCCATGGCAACACAGGAGCGAGCTAGGAACACAATAAGGATCTAGGAAATGCAGAGCAAAACACCACAGGCTACAGAGAAAACACTAATTCAGTCCCCTGTGTGAGGCTGCAGATCTTGCAGTGCTGTTTCTCTACTGTAGGTCCCTCCAGCTTGTTCCTGGGCTGGAATTACAGCCCCACGCTCAGGAAGGAATCCAACCCAGCACACGAGGAACACCGGGATTTTCGGGAGCCTTCCCCCAGGCACCAAAAATGTTACATCCAGCCCTTCAATGAGAGGATTAGAGGTCTGGGGAGACAGTTCTTGGACTTAATGCTGCTGAGCTGAGCCTTTGCCACCCCTGCACTGCCTGCCTGGTGGGAAGCCCCTGTATGAGGCGGCTTCCCCGAAACCGGGTTGGTGTCACCATTGGAAACCAGCAGCTCTGACGTGGCCGGGACTGTGCTGGAGAGGAACACGCCTGTTTGCAGAGGGAACAGGGCTCCTCGGTCCAGCTGCCTCATCGAGCTGATAGTCCTCAATTATGCTCCCAGATCAAATAGAGCTGCAAACAGCTCCCCCAGTAAACCCAGCTCCGCTCAGACACCGGCGCTCGGCATCTCACGGCCCGCGGCGATTCCACGAGCGACGCTCCAGCTGCTCTTGCAAAACTTTGAGCGTCTCACTTGTGAGAAAACCAAACATCTCTTGATTCCTGGCATGTGTTTATGAGAAAATAAAAAAGCCCTGTCTAAACAATATGGCTGGAGTTCAGAAAAGCTTTTCTGTAGAACCTTAGCTTTGAGTACAGAACCGCTGGAGTCAGCTGAATCCAAAGGTGTACTTGAATGCTTTGTTGAAGGATAAATGAAAACACATTCCAAAGTGCCTTCCAGAATCAGGGACTTGATTTTAATTATTTATTTTTTTTTTAACTCACAAAAGGGCGTAGAACTGACTAGGAATCAGCACATGCCATGGGTGTGAATAGTTGTAGCATCTGTGCTAATTCTCTTCTCATCCTGGTACCCCCCGTGCTCCTGAGTACGTAAATCTGATTCTCCTCATGACTCCACTGAAGTTCCCATTGATTAAATCCCCAGCCCAGCAGCAGGAGAATCAAACCCCACACATTTATTCTCTTCCTCTCAATGCATAAAGGATTCCCTTTGGCCTCTCAGCTGCTGGATCACATGGTGCCCTGAATGCAAAGAGAATTCCAGTGATAATGTGGCTAATGAATACATTTGTATATGTATGCAAGCATTTCCCTGCTCTCCACCACTAACCAGAAAATATAGACACATTCACACACAGGAGCAGAGAAGGTGTGGGAAAGGAAGGATTTGGGAATACCAGGCTGGGGGAAAACTGACTGAAATCCTTCCAAGCTGAAGGCTGCAAGCTCAGGACCTCAGGGAACATTTTCTTTGGAGCTTTAAAGCCCAATTTGTAGACTACAAGTGCTACTTAATATTCATGTTTCCATTATACTCTCCATTCATATAAATAAATATATATTACAACAGTTTCTAATGTAAAATATTGTAAGCATTTCCAAGAAAGAAACCAGCGACATCATTTCAAACCACTGCACAAAATACATGGGTGACATTTGCCTTAATAAGACATTTTGAATTCTTTTCAAGCATCTTTGAATTCTGTTCAGAAAAGTTATTCGATAGCAGAACAAATCCACTCCTGCAAAAACTTTGATGATTTCAGAGTTGTAATAGCTTAAAAATGGGATGCTTTTAATTTGTTAGCATGCTCCATGTTGACTTTTAAAGTCATCCTGTAATGCCAGAAAATAGATTGATTTAAATCAGGTATCAGTGGCAATCAAAACATGCAAAGCCAGAGAAATGTCAGAAAGACTCTGGATAAGATACACACCAGAACACCAACAAATAAATATCCTTAAGGAAAACCACTTTGTAGTTGGTTCCAACACTCTAAAAGTGACTCGTTCAGCACAACAAATCCTACAGTCAGAAATGTAGGGATATAATATTTCCCTCAAATCAACCCCACCCCAACCCAGAGGTAAAAACCAACGCAAATCAGAGTGAGAGGCCCCCTTAAAGTCGGGGTGAGACGTCACCTACCCTGTGAGGACCACGACAAAATCCATCACGTTCCAGCCGTTCCGCAGGTAAGAGCCTTTGTGAAAAACAAACCCCAGAGCGATGATTTTTATCCCAGCCTCGAAACAAAATATTCCAATAAAGTAGGGCTCAGTGTCGTCCTGAAAGAGAACAAAAATCAGGGGGATCAAGTCACATGAACAGCTCCAGGCACCAACTTCACACCCTTTTCCACTCCCCGAGCTGAAACTTTGCTAGAGCACAAATAGGAATTTCATTATTATTTCTCTGGAATTATATTTTTTTTTTTTTTGTAAATTGGGAATTCTATTTGCCTTCCTTCTGATTTTTTTCACCCCATTCTTTCACGCAATTTTCCAGCAGGAATTTCAAAGCTGAAGTTTTGCTCTAAGGGCATATTTAAAGTTGCTATCACATATTCCAGAGGTTACTGACATGGAAAAAGAAGTGCTTCACCATTCATCCAGGAACTTGAAACAAGAGGATATCTTGGGGATTAACAGTCAGCACAGAAAGCTTGTGAACACTGACAGGAAATTATTTATTTATCATTTACTCCATCGGTTCTTCCTTCACTCTTTCTCCTCCATTTTCTCAATTTCCACAGCCACAGTCTCATTTGTTTTCCTTTCACTGTGTGTCTGATTAAGGGAGAAAACCCCATTCCCTTTTAGCAGGAACAATAAGATTTGTGCCTCAGGTCCATGGGGCAGATTTTGGGATCTCAGCTTCATGTCTTACCTCCTACAGAGAAATTAAACTTCGTCTCCCCAGTTTTACTAAACCATTTATTCCATCTATTTTATATATTTATTTCATATTCATTATTTATTTTATATTTATTAATGATATATTTATGTTAAAATGTGTTTCTATAGTTTATATATTATATATTTGCAGTTATTTTTTCTGTTATATATTTATTTAACCAAACCATTTATTTCAGCAACTCCACCTCCCATTCCCCTGTGGCCCGGCAAGGTGACAGTCACCTGCAGATCACAAACACTGAATGGCCACAGATGTCTCAATATTATTATATTATATTGTACATTATTGTATTATACTATATTATATTATATTATACATTATTATATTACATTGTATTTATAATACATATATTATATATTGTAAATACAATATATACGATTTATAATATATAGAATTTATAATATGTATTATATGTAAAATATATATATTTATAATATATAATAATATGTATATTTCTTTATTATAGATTATTTAGTATTCAATTATTGACAGGAGTTTCAATACAAATTCAGTGCCAAATGAAAACATGTATATTTGGAAGTCAAAGACAGAGGAAAAAATGGGAACAAAGAGGTAAAAGCAAAGGAGATTGATTTCAAGCCCATGTTAATTGGCTTTGGCACCTGTAACCAATTTCCAAATGTGCCTTAGATCCCTGTTTTCAGCCGAAGTCAATGGAAGTAAAGCAACCCTACCCAAAGAGAAGCAAACTTCCAAATTAAGAGATTAGAAATCTTTTTTTTTTTTTTCCAGTGACATTTCTGGCCATCAGAGCCATGGAGCTGAGCTGCTCTTTGATGGACAGCTGCTTCCATTTTGCAATTCTACTAATGACAAAAGGGGATTGTTTGTTCTCTTCTACAGAAGGAGCAGGAATGTCAAGGCTCGTGGGGTCAGGAGGAAGGAGCAGGTTTGACACAGGGATGTGTTTGACCAGCTCCTGCTCAGCTCTGACCCAGACCCATGCTTTGGGCTCAGCACTTGGTACAGAAAACTGGGTTTTTCACCCCTGAATTTGGGCCTGTTCAGCCTCAAGAAGAGAAGACTGAGAGGGGACCCCCCAAATGTCCATCAGGGTCTGCAGGGAGGGGGTAGAGGATGGAGCAGGCTCTGCTCGGGGGGACCCAGCAATGGGACAGGAGGAAGGGGCAGGAACTGATGCCCAGGAAGTTCCACCTGGACATGAGGAAGAACTTCTTTGCTGTGCAGTGACTGAAGAGAGACCAGAGGGGGGGTGGATTCTCCTCACTGAGGATGTTCCAGAACCTGGATGCAATCCTGTGCCATGGGACGGCCCTGCTGGAGCGGGGAGGTGGCACCAGTTGGGACACTGTGGTCCCTTCCACCTGACCTGGTCTGTGATTGTGTAACACAACAGGACATCCCCCGCAGAGGGGCTTGGCTGGAGATACATCCCAACTCAGCAAGCCCACCAGAGAGCACTAATCACTGCAGATACCTCCAAGCTGCTGGAAAATACTCCCCCTGGACAGGCTTTTCCATCAGGGGCTGAATTAAGGTTTTATTCCTACAAATCAACACCCTACAACCCTACACACCTCAGAGGGCCCAGCTCTTTCACACACTTCATCCTTCACCCTGTATTATCTCCATTCCCTCCACCTTTCCCACCTCAGCAAACCCCCCTCCCACTCTCCTGTGGCCTGGCAAGGTGACAGTCACCTGCAGGTCACACACACAGGCACTGACTGGTCAGACAGAAAAACACAGCAAGGCAAAGTTGAGCTCTCACTGTAGGCCTTTGGCTGAAATGGAGAGGAGAAAATAAAAACCCACATCCAAAATTAATTTCTCCTCCAGTCAAGGAGATGTTTCCACAAGCAGCAGCACCTCCAAGCCCTCTGTGCCTCCACAGAGCCTCCCCAGTGCTGCTCAGAGGACACAAACCAGCACTGACAGACCTCCAGCTGCCCATCCCAGTGCTGTTTACCCACAGAGAAACAGCAACAAAGGCCATCAGACCTTTTATAACCTTCAACAGAAATTCTACAACAAGCGTCTTCTTCCAGCAGTTGCTCCACAGCAAGAGCTGGAGAGATCCCAGGGCTCCAACCCAGACAGAAAAGAGGGAATAAGGAAGAGGGGGTCACAATCATCCTGTGTGGTTTCAGAAGTTGCCTTACTGCTCCTCTACTTTCCCTCATGCACAGTGGGACTGCTCTTCAACCCCACAACCCCTCCTAGTTCAACAGCTATGGATAATCCGTGGAAACAAAGGCCTCCCAGCCCATCCCATATTTCCATCCCACAACTACGAGCGTGCCTCTAAAAATAACTCTTCTAACGCACCCAAAAAAAGCTACCTTTACCCACATCCACTCCTCCACATTACTCCCTCACTTCCTTGAAGCCTCATATCTACTCTGCTCCCAGTCTTTGCTCAATCTAGGTCAGGTGCTTTGTGATTACAGCTCCCAGCTTTAAAGAGCCAGGCTTCAGGTACTCCAGGGTTTGATAGGATATGCTCTTCCCAAAGCTAGGACTGCACAAAGCACTCAGGAAGCGAGTCAAAGAAGTTCTGAGTTTCCAGGGAAGCAGGAGGGCTCACAGATGGATTTGGGTATTTATTACAAAGAAAACCAGTCAGGTTGGCAGTGAGTAGCTGGGGAAATAAGAAGGGATGGAAAGAGGGTCTTTTCTAAAGCCTGCCTAAATTTGCACTGACTCAGCCTAAGAATCAGGGCAGTCACAACGAGATGAACACAGAAACTTGTGCCCCCGTGGGTAGAGGTCCAAAAAAGGATTCACAGGACTGTGTGTGATGGAAGGAAGGCAAGGACACGGGTAAGATGCCCTGGGCAGCACTGGAATAGCACTGCCATGGGCTCAGCATCCCTGCTGCCAGCACGGCCTGCAGCACCCTCCAGACAGGAGCCTGTGCCCTGCTTGGGTTCAAGAGCAGGAGAGAAGGTGATAATGAGTGTCAGTGTGTGAGCGGGGAAGGAGGGCGGAGAATCTGGGCAGCAGCCAGAGCTGTGCCAGCAAGTTGTTTGCTGTGGACACAGCAAAGCTTGAGACTGGGCCAAACACACATTTAATCAATATGTTTCAGATCAGAAACAACTTCTGAGTCTGGAAAGTCATTACTATTCCTAGTCCACGTCCCAGTGTCTTTCCTTGGCCTTTGGATGTGACAGCCTTGATGGGTTTGGGTGTGAAGGGTTTTGTTCATGCAAAGGTTAATACGAACAGCTCACATATGGCTGCAGGAAGTGCCTGTGGATGGGATAAAGCATTAAATCCATTAGGAAATTGCAAGAGCTGTCACAGTGAATATCTGAGAAAAGGCATATCTGTCCTCACATCAAAAACAGCCGGAGCCCTGCAGGGAACGTCCTACAGACCCCCTGGTGTCTTCAAACAGGGGCTGCACCAGAGCGGGGCAGAAAAGAGATTTCCTGTCCTGCAGGTCTGAAATCATCTCTGCCAGGATGGGCCAAATCTAAAGTCACCTGAAGCTTCTCATGGAAAACTGAGCCATTGGGAAGGAAGCAGGGAGGGAAGGAGTGTGTCTCATCCTGCACAGCCAAGAGCATCGTGAGCATCCACCAGCGAGGCCATTCAGGGCTGGGAGGGGAAGTTCACAGTCCCACATTTGGAGCTCTCAGCACCAGGCTCTGGGCCACTCAGTACAACTCCCTCAGCATCTTTTAGCTTGGCAGCACTCCAGTGTGTACAAACAATGCAATATTTATTGGGGCACAGGGAGCCTGACTCTACAACCTCTGGCTGAGGCACTCATTGAGATGGGCAGGAGCAAATCTGCAACATCTCTGTCCACTGGACAATTGCTGATGTGAATTAAACCCTTCCAGCAACCAAAGCACGTGAGAGTTCCAGCTCAGAGCAGGCAAGAACCTCAGGGGTAGGTCAGTCTGCTGCTGCTGGGAGAACAAGCTGATTTCTCTTGTCTGAAGATGAAACCAATACTCCGGTTCACCACTAAATTCTCTGACCACCAAACTGGTGTTTCTCGGAGCTTTTGTCCAAAATTTCCACCCCAGAACCAAGTGATGCTTTTCTGTGCTACAAACTACATACAGGAAATGGACAGAGAAAAACCCCTCCTAACTCAGCCATTCGAAATCCTGAAATATTGGAGGTACTGAGGCATCACTTGTGCTTCATTAGCCCTGTTTGTCAAAGTAAGAGGAGCACAGAAAACAGCCAAGTGACATTGCACTGCAGGTTCATCTCTTGGGTCTCAGGGGAGATAAATAGAAGAAAATGTTGATTAGAAGACAAAAATCATTAAAATGCTTGTATGGGCTCCTCCCTCTTCTCCTCAGCTTTAACAAACAGACGGTCTTAAGATTTTTGTCTTTGTATCTGTGGAATAAAGTACCCAGGCAGCTCTGGTTTTATTTCAACAGCTCTGCCTACATCTCCAGTCATCAAAGGCTCGTGATGTGCATCTCACATCCTTAACATCTGATTAACTCTTCAGTGATGAGACCTCACTCCAATTTGAATATTTCAATGAACCCAAGAGATGGAAATATAGATCCATCAATCATTAACCAAGAAAAGGCCAGTTCCACTCCTGCCAAAGACAGCCCAAAAACACCTGCTGTTCTGCAGAGGCTTAGAATTTGGCTCAACAAACCTGTAAATGTATGGGAATGTTCACCCACTCTGGTTTAACATGGATTTGTAACATTTTCAATGAAGCAACTTCCAGTTTGTGGAAGCAGCAGGAACATTCTAAAGCAGCTTCACTTTGAAACCAGAAGACACTTTTTCTTACTCACAATGCTTAATCTTTCCAGTATATGTTGAAAATAAAAGATATTTCATGACTTGTAAAGACTCTCAGTGTTATTCCATGCTAAACCCCTTTATACTTCAGAGTTATGAATGTGCTGTAGCTAAAATGTTTTAAGAATACCTGGATCAAAGGCAATGGTGCACAACAAGGACAAAAATCAGGAGTTAATTCTTTCTTCCTCACCAAGGCAGAGCCAACAAGGCAGAGATTGTGCATTTAATACACACAGTTATCTTACAGTATTTGGTGGTAAAGCCAGTGCTCTCTTTGGAATGATTTGAGCAGGAACTGAAGGTGTTTGTACCATAAAATGGAATCAATACAGTAGGGAAAAGGACAATAAAATGCCTGTGGGATCCCCTTGTAAGTCTGGGGACACAGAGAAACATAAAACCAACTTGTTAACCACACCTACTGCTGCTTGAAACATCACCAAAGGGTAACCAGACCAAAACACCCACAAAACTGTTTTTCCCTTCACTAGTCCATATGTTCATAACCACGGAAAGCATTTTCCAGCTCGGTCACTACGCTGGGTCTGAACCTGTGCTTTGCTCACAGCCCCAGGCTGGCCTTGCTGACCCCTCCTAAAGCACACAGAGAATGTTAAATGGCACAAAGATCAACAGAAATGCATATATTCATCTTATCCTCCTCACTTGTTTGGCAGAAATAATTCAGGGACAATAAGCAAACCCCGTGGAGGTGGACAGGCAGCAGCAGCAGCTCCATTTCCAATTTAGGACCAAGTAGGTGACCCTGATGCTCCTTCTGGATCCATCACTAACACACTTTTTCCTGCTTCTGAAGGATGAGATTGTGAGAGTTGCCCACCCTTGGAAACTGCAGCAACCAGTGTACAGGGCCCCTAGTTTTTGGCAGCAAGCCTAATATTATTTTTGTTTGCATAACATAATATCTACATGGCAAACACATATGGATCCATATTTATTCATCCATATTTATTCAGCCTTTGAACATGCACCAGGATTAATGCATTTGGGCATGCAAGACTTTCCAGATCATTAACAGTCGGAGAAAAATCAACCCAAGTGTTACACATTTTTCCTACGTGATAAATGGAAGAATTGTTTTGAAGCTATTCTTCTCTTTTCTTTTGAAATAAGGTAATTGAGCTCATTACCATAAAGCCTGCAGGGAAATTATTTTCCTCTGTAAGTTGGTTTCATTTTTTTTGAAAGGGAAGTGCAATCATCTAAACCCAAAGTTTGCTCTGTAGGATCCTTCATATGCACAGTGGCAGGAAGAGACTCTTGAACCTGAAAGGTTACTCTGTTCTACCACTCCCTGGGAAAATATCACAGAAGTTTATTTGATTCTAGAGATAATTCTAAGCATTTATAAGTCCTTTCTTGTCTTGGTTTAGAGACAACTTAAGTTTGGAGCTCTTCTGATGAGAACAGAAGCTCCATCTCTTCTCCTGCAGCTGGGCAGGACTGGCTGGAGTGATGAAGCATTTGTGCAGATGGGATCAGGAGGGGAGAGTTCTTCTTGTTGGCACTGAGCGATTTTTTTTTGTGATTGGCAGATCAATGCCTGTTTGTTTACCTGGGGATCTTTAAAACAGATGCCAGCACTCCCAGCACTGGGGGGCTGAGTGTTTTCTGCATCAGAGCAGAACAAAAACTGCACATAAATAAATGCAACTCACCAATCTCTCCGACATCGGCGTCTTGTCTCCATCCGGCAAGTGTTGTTCCAGAGCCAGCACGATACAATTGGCTATGATTGTAGCTAAAATCATGTATTCAAATGGAGTGAGGACCAAAAAGTTAAAGAAGACACTGGACAACAGAAGGAGAACCTCGCCCAAATCCCATTTCTACCCCCACAGTCACATTAATTGAGCATTCTAAGATTTCTCATATTTTTGAAGGCGTTCAGTCTCCCTGACTTCCTCAGTTCTTTCTGGGTTGTGTTTGGAAGAAAAGTAGGCAATTGGCTCTCTTCTTTGAAAGAGTTAGAGTTTTACACAGAGTCAGAGCTGCTCAAGGAATTTGGGAGAAAGAAAGCAAAAGATCCAGAGGAAACAAAAACCTATTAATAATTATTGGTTTAAAATGAGGCTGATAAGCTGAACTGCCTCAGAATAGATTATACAGCTGAGCACCATCTGCTGAATTGTCCTTCAGAAACATTTGCCTTCAACACATAGTGCAAATAAAGTGATGGGTTGTAAAAGTTTGATTTAGAGTGTCTACACAGGTCCAAAACATGAATTACTGCTGGATTGCAATTCTCCCAGTGAGAATAAAATCACCAGCGCCCTGTCGGGATGTAGGAGGGAAGCAATCCCAGGGGAAGGATCCCAACCCGGCACCGGGTCCCCTCTTTTGCTGTTGTCTCCAGCCCCGAGCTGTGCCGAGTCTCAGCTCTCCCAGGGCGGAGCTGCACCAGGGACAGCAGAGGGGCCTGAGGTGGGAGATGGATCCGCTCAGCACCACGGGGAGAGACTCAGCACCACGGGGAGAGAGACTCAGCACCACGGGGAGAG